AAGAGAGAGCAAATCTTTTAAGATGCTCCTGGGACCCTCTGAAAAATCCCAAAATTACTTTAGGTCAAAAAGACTTCATTTAGAATTTGATATTGGGCAGTTTGCCAAAAATATCAAAAGGTTTTAGACACCTTTGACTAAATAGAATTGAAACAATACTTAATTACCTATATAACCAAATGACCAAAGGTTTTCAAGGCAAATATAGAGGGTTACATTGTTGTGAGCCAAACTTAGCTCTTTTAATATTGAGAAGACTCGGTTTTCTTAAGTAATTAAATATCTGATTAAGACAACATGAAGCATCGGAAATTATTTTGATAAAACAAAAACTTTGCATTATAGCCAGATTGCTTAAGATAAAGAAAAACCTATCATAGTCTCTTATCAGACCAATACTTCAAGAAAACTTTGTCCTTTTAGCAGATGACAGAAAATTACATGAGCATACTATTGATATTAAAGCTTATTTTTAAAAATCCTTATAATAACAGTTCAGTTATTGACCACTCAAGGTAAAGTTCTTTCTTGTTCTCTCTTCCCAACTTACTATACCATTTTGTCCTTTATTTCCCTCTTTCCCATTCTGAAATAACCAGCTTTATGTTAGGGTAAAATTATTTTTTCATTTCCCTTATAAAACTGCTCTCCATACCTCATACCTCTATTAACCAAAAAGAAAAGAAAATCCTACTTTCCTTGCATACAGAGATGTTTCCCTTATTATTTCTAGTAGTTTTAATTACATACATTAATTAGAATTCTTAGCCCTTAGGAACCTTAATTTCTAGTGAAAACTAAGAAGTAAGCAATTGTGAACTGTTACACCAGCATTCTTAAGGTTGACAAATTTATGTCTACATTTCATAATTTCTGGAAACATACATTTCCTCATAGAACAATTTTCCAGTGTGGCACAAGACATGTTTACTAACTGACCCAAATATTTTTAGTTCCTCTGTAATAAGAAGTCAAAAGAAAGTAAACTTAGACTTGTTTAGCACTTAATAACTCAGTATTTTATCTTACTTGGAAATGCCTATAATTCACTGAATTTCCCATCATTTAATTTAATTTAGCAAAACTCTGAAGTTTCAAGTTACAGGAGATTTGAGAAACTATTTTAAATAAATATACCATAACACATAATTATTGCTGAAAAGTTCACCTAAACTCTTATTACATTTATATCTATTTAAATCACTTATTCTTAACAATTATGTTTAGACTACTCATGAAAGCTTCATGACACATTAGACAAAATCAGCCATCATCCCAAGCTATTTTTCTTGCTGAAAAGATTATGAAGAGATAACATGAACTTTTTTGAATAGCAAATCCAAGAAAAATAAAAGTTGCATATCTGCATTATGTCTAATATTGATGGCTTTTAATTAAACCAATGCATTTAAA